AATGGAATGTGAGGCAACTGGCAGTTGGAACAGAGTTCTTTTCAGATGGGGAGGGGGAGTAGAACTCCTTAGCATCAGAGCGTCAATTACTGTATAAGAAATACTAATGATCTGATGGTCCGTATGTATGTATGTATGTATGTATGTATGTATGTATGTATCTATCTATATATATGGAATAAGTTCTATTATTTTGAACACACTTAAGAGAAAGCTCTTTCGTACTCGTTGCGTTGTATCCTAACTGTAGCTTCTTCTGGTGGCGGCATTCCTGTTTTAGGCAGTCTGTACTGTTCTCTGCATTCAAGGATGATGAATGAATTCAATATTTTGCATTTTGCCACATGGAAAGTAAAGCATCTTCCCTTGGTTGGGAACTGACTCTTGTTTTGAATAGCGTACTTGGTCAGGCTGAAAAGAGGGTGCGTAGTTTGTGGTTCAGTACATTTTGGGGTCCTTCATTTTCATCTGAGCAATGAAACCCAAGTAAGATATTAAGCCACCTTGTGGCTTGGCTTGGGCAGAACATGCTGTAGGAACAGAGAAACTGGGCTTGTTAATTCTGGGGTAGGATTTGAAGGCAGGCAATTCTTAGTAGGATCGGATATGACGAAGAGAATAAGCCTCAATTCACAAAGATTTGCAGAAGGCTAGACATTCCAGGAATCTGCTCTAAAATATATGGAAATTCATAGAGGATATTCTTAAGAGGGGTTCCATGGCATCACACACAGTTGTCTACATTGGGCGAGGGGAAACAAAGGGAAAAGAGGAAGAGGAAAGGAGGAGAAGTTAGGACTATAGGAAGGAGGAGGAAGAGAGAAGAGAATGAGGATAGGACAACGATGGGAAGGAGGAAGAAGAGGAAGGAACAAGAAGAGAAGGAAGAGGAGGAGGGAAGGGAGGGAGAGGAAGAAGAGAAGATGAAGAGGGAGGGGGGAATGAGGATAGGACAACGATGGAAGGAAGAAGAGGGAGGAGGAGGAAGAGAAGGACAATGAGGGGGATGGGAGGGAGGGAGAGGAAGAAGGAAGAGGAGGAGGAGAAGAGGAAGTTAGTACTAGAGGAAGAGAGAAGAGGAAGGAGAATGAGGATGACAATGGGAGGGAGTAAGAAGAGGGAGAAGGAAGAGGGGGATGGAAGGGAGAGAAGAGGGAGAATGAGGATAGGAAGACGATGGGAGGAGAGATGAGGAGGGGGATGGGAGGGAGGGAGAGGAAGAAGGAAGAGAAGGATGAGGAGGATGGGAGAAGAGGAGGAAGGGGAAGGGCGGAGGAAGATGAGAGAGTAAGAGAAGAGGGAGGAGGAAAAGACGGAAGAGGCGATGGAGGGAGGGAGGGAGAGGAGGAGGCATCACCCAGAACAAGCGTAGCATAGAGCAGGATCTTCTAGCCCTGGGACCTCTGATAGCAACAGCCCTTAGACTTCTACACTGCTTCATAGGGCTTTTACCTCCCTCTCAAAGCAGTTTACAGAGTCAGCCTCTCGCCCCCNCCCCTGAGATACTGGAAGGCTGCTATCATGTCCCCCCTGGTCCTTCTTTCTATTAAACGAGACATATTGTAAAGCCAGGATGTGATTCTATGATGTCTCTAACTGTATAAAAAGGAGCTACACCTTCTCTGAAAAGGAGTTCTTCCCTGCATATCCTTGGGGTAGGTTGGGAACAACTCACCATCATGTCTTTAAACTTTGATCAAAGATTAAATGCTGATTGTTATTCAAGCATCCGTTTAAGTCTCACGTTTGGCTCATTGTGACTTGAATGTGTTGCCAAACGTCTATGGGTCTCAATGTATTCTTACGCTGGAAAGAGGGCAAAGAAGAGCCACCAAGAGGATTAGGGGGCTGGAGGCTAAAACCTACTGTATGGTTGCAGGCTCGGGTGAAATGCTACCGGTTACAGTTACACGGTTGCATAAGTGCGCGCAGCATCTTATCAACAGGGATGTGTTCAGGTATCAAACTGATATCACCTTAAATTTCATTTGTCTTGTTTTTATTTTGCATTTTGGGCTGATCCTTGCTTTTATTAAGTTGCGTTCCTTTAAAGGCGATGGTGGATGCTTTAGGATTTGAAGGAGAATATTTGCTGCAACGAAGGGTCCTTGGTGCTGTTTGAGCTTGGTTGATTTCTTGCAGACCTTTTATTACCCAACTAGGTAACATAATCAGTTCTAGCAAGGAGCAAACCCCACTCCTTACTAGCACTGATGAAGTTAACTAGTTGGGTAATAAAACATCTGCAGGAAAACAACCAAGCTCAAACAGAGCCAAGGACCCCTCATGTTTTACATAGATGTGTGAATTTAAGGAATATTATTCTTACTAGCTGGGTACTCATGCTTCATAACAAAACTATGTGATTGGGCTAGGCAGGAGAAATTTGGTTCACAATCTGTTGGCTCAGTGGTGGTCGGTGATTGAAACATGTAAGGGAATATCACCCCCACCGCCTTGAGTCCGGAAGCAGTTCCATAGGTGGAAGGCGTAGACNATATGCTGACTCTGTAAACCGCTTAGAGAGGGCTGAAAGCCCTAGGAAGCGGTATATAAGTCTAACTGCTATTGCTATTGCTATTGAACTGCGCATGCGCACACAGCAGCCATCCAGTGCGCGCACACAAGGAAACTGGCAGTAATACCGGCCGAAACGCACCCCTGGTTTGAACCTAAAATGCCCTTGTAAGAAAACATTCACAGAACACTTCTGGTGCAACACTCAGACAAATCAACAGGTAACATGTCCTCACCAGCAAAAGGCAAGCCCTGTTGGATTTCTGCCTGCCCAGAAAAGAATCCAAAACAGAACGATGGCTTGTTCCAAAAGAAGCCAGCTTACCATTATACTTCCATTTTTGGAGTCGGGAGGCGGAATCTCGCATGTTGATGGCACGGAGGACTTTGACCGTTGCGTCTTGCGCGCCCTGATCCCCGTAGGCCTCCAGGAGAAGCTGCAACACATCCAGTGTGTGGGCATCCTTTAACTTGGCCCAGGGGATGGGCTCCTTCTCCTCCAGGCAGGGAAAGCTGAGTTTATGCTTGAACCTCTTGAAATCTTCCCCGGAGAGGTCATCCAGGGCGAACAACAAAGCATCTTCCAGAGATTCGTGTGGTTCCTCCATTCCAGCTCAGGAAACCAGACAGGGGAAGAGGTTACAAGTTCCTTGAGGAGAGAGAGAGAGAGAGAGAGCAGGAAAAAGCTACTTGTAAATCATTCTCCTATTGATCACTGATTAACCACCAAGCGGCTAATTACCAACTGAGACCACACGAATCGACAGAGGAGCACAACGCGAAGAGGAAACGCGACAGCAGAGCTCTGGGAAGTGAATGCTTGCAATTGGTGGGGTTGAATTCACACAACCAGGCTGGGGGGGGGGGGGGTTGGCTAGGTTTTAACCTCGGCTGCCACTGAGGAGAGTAAGGTTGTGGGAATCCAGTGTGTTTCATTTGTGGACCAGCATATTCTACAGACAGAGAAGAAAGGTTTTTAAATTGCTTGTTTGAGTAGTAGGTTGTGTACGGTAGACACCCGGACAGATTTAACCACCGTTTCAACTGGGGAACTGTAACCATCCTAGACCAGGCCAAGTCCTAAGGTGCCAGAGAATTCCTGCCAGCCTGGCATTCAGACAGATCGGCCATCAGGAGGCACATAGAGATTTATTTACTGATAGATTTGTTTTGTTTTGTCAAGCGTGTATAAGATAATAGAGATCAGCACATACCAGATTATAACCACATGAAATGAATAAATGGGGTTGTGAGGACAGGGACGGAAGGCACTCTGGTGCGCTTATGCAGGCCCCTTCCAGACCTCTGAGGAATGGGGTTAGGAGGTCGACAGTAAACAGTCTAAGGTTAAAGTTTTGGGGGTTTGGGGGTGAAACCACAGAGTCAGGTGGAGCATTCCAGGCGTTGACCATTCTGTTGCTGAAGTCCTATTTTCTGCAATCGAGG